CTGGTTAAGGGTGGGAGTGTCTGAGACGCCGCTGGGAGAATGTCCACTTCAATTTGTCTTAGTTGGATAGGAGCAGAGACTGGGAGAGGGAACTGCCACTGGCAAGTCCCACAAGATCCTTTTTCTTTTTCTTTTAGCAGATTTCTTTATTATTTTTTCCCTTCTACAACACCTTACAGTCATTATATCAACATTGTTATGACATCATACCTGTACATGTATATAATATTTCGCTTCTATATTTACACACCTTTATACACAGTTCTATATATATTTATATATAGTTTTTTGGCTTAATGAAGTTTATTCTTGTTTTGCAGCCATTTATACCAATTGTTTCAAATTTCATAATATTCCGACTATCTTTTAATTTCAGTGATAATTTGTCCATCTCTGCACAATCCAAAGTTTTTTTTATCACTAATTTGTCCGAGTGGATATTAATTTGTTTCCAGCATTGGGCAAATGCTATTCTAGCTGTAGTTAGCAGATTAGCAGACTTTGTTTTCCCTTGAAGACATTTTGCTTCTCATCCAAGAAGCTTCTTCAGTTCTCGGGAAACTTCTTCAAGGAAAAACAAAGTCCAGTTATCTTTTGATAAAGCACCTTTGGGACAACCATGACCTGGATGGCTGAGAATCTCCATGGATATTTGGCATTGGCAAAGTCACCACGTGGTGATCCAGGCTCAGGCAGTCTCTTTTAGCTTGCTCCTTGGGAGTGTGTCTCTTGACCGAAAGACTAAGCTAATGAGGAAAAGAATGCAGTTGACTTTAGACCTTGGCAGAGACAAGCAAGGGGAACAAAATTGCTCTCTTTTTTCCTCCTCTCCTGCTTAATTTCTCTTTCTTTCCAGCTAGACAGGACTGCTCTCCACTGGGCTGCAGGAGCTGGCCATGAACAGGCAGTCCGCCTCCTCCTGGAACACGAGGCCGGCGTGAATGATGAAGACAGTGTGAGCTTTTCTCCATGCTTTGTTTACTAGCTTGAACATAACATCTCTTTATTTGGAGGGCGAGGTCTGTTTATAACACACTAGCCCATATCCACAGCAGCCATAGAGGGGAAAATGATGCATGTTGTGTACTTTGCATCCTTTATTCAACAGCAACACGCAGTAGCAATAGCACTTAGACATATAACGCTTTACAGTGGTTTACAGCCCTCTCTCAGCAGTTTCTTGCCCCCAACAATCTGGGTCCTCATTTTACCCACCTCAGAAGGTTGGTCAGGATAGAACTCCTGGCAATGGGCAGATCTAGCTTGCAATATTACATTCTAACCACTGGGAGGAGGGAGGGAGGGAGGGAGGGAGGGAGGAAGGAAGGAAGGAAGGAAGGAAGGAAGGAAGGAAGATAGCAATAGCACTTAGACTTAAAGCACATCCTGCTTCACAGTGCTCTACAGCCCTCTCTAAGCGGTTTACAGAGTCAGCCTCTGGCTCCCAACAATCCGGGTCCTCATTTTACCTATCTCGGAAGGATGGAAGGCTGAGTCAACCTTAAGCTTGTCAGGCTCAAACTCCTGGCAGTGGGTAAAGCTAGCTTGCAATATTGCATTCTAACCACTGGGAGTGAGGGAAGGAAGGAAGGAAGGAAGGAAGGAAGGAAGGAAGGAAGATAGCAATAGCACTTACACTTAGAGTACATCCTGCTTCACAGTGCTCTACAGCCCTCTCTAACCGGTTTACAGAGTCTTGCCCCCAACAATCTGGGTCCTCATTTTACCCACCTCGGAGCCTGGTGAGATTTGAAGTACCAATTTGCAGATAGCCGGCAGGCAGCAGAAGTAGCCTGCAGTACTGCATGTTAACCACCGCGCCACCATGACTCAATGTCATTCTATTCCTGTCCAGATGTCTTTGTCCGCATGTAGTTGAACTGCACATCTTTAATCGGGGTCCTGAAGGGTCTTTATTTGGGGGGAGGGAACGAGATTTTTCACAGACCTTTGGACCATTCAGATAGAACAGACTATTTCCATTTATGGAGATTCGCAATAATCCAAGTCATAGTTGTTCCAAAGGCAAAGGTTTTTTTTGTTTTTTTTGTTTCCTTTGAAAACAATTCCCCACTATTCCCCACCAGTCAATTAGAACTGAAGAAGCTTCTTGGAGAAGAGAAATGTTTTCAAAGGAAAAGAAAAAAAGAAAAAAAAAAACCTAAGAAAGTCCTGTTGCCTTTTGGGAAAAGCATCTTTGGAATAGACTCTTCCCCAGTGGACTGTTTTCCCCCTCTTTCATCTTTCATAACTTGCTGCTACATTATAGAGTTTCCCAGGCAGGGCCTCAGATTGGATTAAATTGTCTTTTTCCAAAGAGCATCGATTTGTTGTAATCAAAATTTCTGCCAAATGAGTCTGGAAATATTTAGCACCTTGCTTTCACTCCAATGAGAGGGACATGGTGTCTCAGTGGCTAGGATGCTGAGATTGTCAATCAGAAAGGTTGGCAGTTCAGCGGTTTGAATCCCTAGCACTGCATAACGGAGTGATCTCCCGTTACTTGTCCCAGCTTCTGCCAACCTAGCAGTTCGAAAGTACGTCAAAATGCAAGTAGAAAAATAGGGACTACCTTTGGTGGGAAGGTAACAGCGTTCTGTGCGCCTTCGGCATTGAGTCATGTCAGCCACATGACCATGGAGACATCTTCGGACAGGGTTGGCTCTTCGGCTTTGAAATAGAGATGAGCGCCACCCCCTAGAGTCAGGAACAACTAGCACATATGTGCGAGGGGAACCTTTACCTTTTCACTCCAATGAACATCGAGTGTGAGACAGGACAGCAAAGAAAGCAGGATGTACACNTTCATTTGTTCGGTCATTAGATTCATTTCAGGAGTGTGAAGATCTGTCCGTGAATCTCAGAGACTCTGTGCCCAGTCTTTCCTTGCACAGCACCTGATTTACAGGGCAGCTTTCCAAGCCAGATAAGATCTGTGATCATATATTCACCTTTGAAAGACTGTTCACCAGGCCTATGCTGAATGTGAAGTAGAGGAATTCACATTCGTTTAATAAAAGGGGTTCTTTGTGGGGACCAGGAATCTGCCTCCTGGTTTTGGGGGAAGCCTAGGTCAGAACACTGTTGTAATTTACTTAAATTTTTCCTTTTTATGCTTCAACCTCCCCTCCTCTGAAAGCAGGAAAGAAAACACCAACCTGGGTAGTCCTGGATTTTTATTCGTACAACTGAGATCAGGATTACTATTGCTAAATAAGGTGGTATTTATGAATTAAGATGGAAAGGGATCTGTGCTGACCCTCTGCTCTGCATACACTGCCCCACCCCCACCCTGCCCGGAATTTTCATTTTATAATTTTAACAATCTTTAATAAGCCTTTTCCTTCTCTCTAGTGCTCCTTTCGGAAAAGATGTTCCATGATGCAGCCAAACGAAACGACACAGTGCACATGATCGAGCTGATCAAGAGAGGGGTTGACGTCAAAGCTAAGAATAATGTGGGTATTTAACTGGGTTTGGGAGCTATAAAAGATAAAGGTTCCCCTTGCACATATGTGCTAGTCGTTCCCGACCCTAGTGGGCAGTGCTCATCTCCATTTCAAAGCCAAAGAGCCAGTGCTGTCCGAAGACATCTCCATGGTCACGTGGCTGGCATGACTAAATGTCAAAGGCGCACGCAATGCTGTTACCTTCCCACCAAAGGTGGTTCCTAGTTTTTCTATTTGCATTTTTTATGTGCTTTCGAACTGCTAGGTTGGCAGACACTGGGACAAGTAATGGGAGTTCACTCCATTACGTGGCGCTAGGGATTCGAACCACCGAACTGCCGAGTTTTCTGATCAACAAGATCAGAAACGTAACAGCCACTGAGCCACCATGTCCCATGTGGGAGCTATAGAGTGGGGTTATTTGGCAAAGATTTGTACCTCCCTCCGTGTCCCTGTTTTTGAAAATTTAAATCCCAAAGTGTGATGCTTTGTGTTACTTGTGGAATGCTCTTTGGCAAATGGGGATGGCATGAAAGAGAGACAGGGAAAATAAATGGAGGTGACAAATTCTATTGAGAGATTGCTGGTCTCTTATCACAAATGTTTTAATCAATCAGGATAGAGCTGGAAGGGACCTTGGAGGTCTCCTAGTCCAGCCCCCTGCTCAAGCAGGAGACCCTATACCATTTCAGACAGGTGGCTGTCCATCTATCTTCTTAAAAACTTCCAGTGATGAAGCACGCACAACTTCTGAAGGGCAAGCTGTTCCACTGGTTAATTGGTAATTAATAAAGCAGCAGGATCTGGTAACCAATGCTAGATCCAGGAAATAATGAGGAAGGTAGCTCTGTAGCTTGAAGAAGACACAAAGTGTCCCTTTTCCTTTCCAAAACAGTCCTACCCACAAACAAGTGGAATGTGGTTGTAAAAATGTCTTCCCGTGGACTTATAAGATCAGGGTTTTCATCTCAGGATTGCAGATAACTGATCAGCCACTAGGTGGGAGCCAAGAGATATGATCTGCATCTCAATACTACTACCTAGTGGTCATGCACAGATTTACAGTCCACATATACTGTCCCTAACAACAGAGTGGTTTGGTGGTCTAGAGGTGGAGCTCTCATCTCACAATCAGGAGCCTGTGAGTTTGATCCTAGGTAGAGGCAGATATTTCTCTTTCTGGGCACAATGAGAATATATTTGCTGAACTAAGCTCCATATTGGCAACAGGAAGGGCATCTGGCCATTAAATGCTCTGCTAGCTCCATTCAGTTGCCCAGATTCCACCCCGCAAAGGATTATGGGGTCATTAAATGATGATGATATACTGCCCCTAACAAAAGACAACCCAGATATAGATATCGCTCAGAAGTTTCCATCAGGTTCCTGCCTTTGTAAGGCTCTGCTCTTTCAGATCCACCAGTCTTACTACTGAGTGTTTCTAATTTGTCTTAGTTGGATAGGAGCAGAGACTGGGAGAGGGAACTGCCACTGGCAAGTCCCACAAGATCCTTTTTCTTTTTCTTTTAGCAGATTTCTTTATTATTTTTTCCCTTCTACAACACCTTACAGTCATTA